GACTGGTTGGGTAGTCCTCGACTTACGACCGGTTTAGTCCTCGACTTACGACCGGTTTAGTCCTCGACTTACGACCGGTTGGGGGGTCGCGGCATTAAAAAAGTTGAGAACCACTGCTCTAGAACAAGGACCTTTATTTACTGATAGCCTCTAAGTCTCATCAGCCAGTGATTGGCACCCAGGTAGCACTGAGCAGAATTTTAAACCAGATGGAATATTCCTCAACTCAATGGAAAACGTTAACATTCTGGTGGATTTCTCATTATAGTGAAGACACTCCACACAGGACAATGTACTATTTTACTTACTGCCACTACAAACATGCAGTTTGAGCTATTAGCAATATTAAAACAAAGAATATTGAGGAGACTACATCAGTAACAGTTCTTAAGCATGGAATGCTTTTATATCAGTGAAACCTTTGAAGAAATATATTAACTTAAATATGTACTCCACTACAACAAATCAACAATATCTGCCTCCAACACCAGCAAATTCTCAACTACAAAATTTGTAATACATCTTCACAGCTGAGCTTCATTTACCTCAATGCAATCCTTGGGGCATTCTTCTTGACTAGACTCTACAGAAGATTCCCACATACAACTTGGTAAGGTTAAACATTTTATTACATATGAGCAATACAGTAACTAATGCAAAAATAGTTTGCATCCTTAGAATTTATAATCTAAGTTTCTTCTTCTTGCATTTTGAATTAAAAGAACATGTGGTAGGTCAACTAATGGTCTGGGGAGACTGTGTGTTACATGTATATATCAGTGCTGTCTAGCCTGGAAATCACTTCAGCAGGTTCTCATAACCTTTCTGTTAATGCTAAAAATTAATATCAAGACTTATCAACAAAGTGGCTAAAGCATTGGGCACAACAGAGCAATTATCATATCAAAGGTAATTTGAAATCATGCCACATGTTGTTGGCAACCATGGCCTTAAAATACTTTTTGCAACAGGAAAAATATGTTTTTCTTTTTTATACTAGAGAGATTATTCTTTTTTCCTGGCGTCACCTGTCTGATGATGAGAACAAGCACATCTCTAAAATAAGTTTTCATACCACTAAGCCTCCAAATAAGTGAAACCACAGGAACAGGAGCGCTACATCTTCCACAGAACACGCACAAAAATTGCTAATCCAGATTTACCACATAGCCACCATCATTTGCCTCTTTTAGCATTAATTTCAGTTCTCTCTCCAAACCATTTTGGATCTTTTATTTTTTTTCTGTATTTTCCCCTACCAGGCTCACAATCAGGGTCACCCCTCATATTTAGAATTACAGGCCTTAATTCCTCTTCCATAGGACTCTTGCTGTTGGCTGAGAGATAAGGGTACTGAAATTGCAAATAAGAGTCATTGGAAAGAATGAGCATGTGTGGTATCACTACTGTGAATGAACAGTTAGTGAACATGGTTAGTGATCTCAGCCTAGCTAAGTGTCACGGATATATCTAGTGCACATCCTGTAATTGAAGCCCAGTAAATCTATTATTTAGTTTTCTGCCCTTTGGCCTGTCTTTTCTCTACTGATTTCTTATTGACTTTTTGTTAATTCTGACAGCATAAGAAAATAGTATAACATGCAAAGTAATAGCATATCAATAGCATAAATTTCAACAAGACTGATAGTCAAATTTCTCCCCAGCATCGTGGTACGTAGTAGTATTATTTTGCCTTTAGGCTTAGAGCAATCTTTGGGCATTTCTAGCACTTCAACAAACTACAGTTTCCAGAATTCTTTGAGAGAATGAACCATGAAGTTACAGATTTAATCACAGTATTTTTTTTCCTTTGTTTCTGTTCTTATTCTCCTACATCTTTAAAAAGCTATTATCCCCTCAAGAACCACGTGTTATCATTTCTCCCCAAAGTATACATACTATATGAAACAAGGAGTTGAGATTTAGTGACAACATAATTAGTTATAAAGCTTTTAAAATCACTCCATATATCTCGAGATTTGCTGTTTTTTAAAGCAGTTCATAAATTCCATGCACCTTAAAGTATGCTAAAGAAAGTAAGGAAAGGTCTAGAAAAATAAGAAAAAAATATTTTTGCAACTATCTCACCTTGTCAATGAAGGAGGCAAACTTGTTGTTAAGGGTCTTGATCTGCTCTCTCTCTTCTACCCTCACTTTCTGGATCTCTGGATCTATCTCCAAATTCAGGGGCTGCAGGAGATGGTGGTTGATAGTCACCTCCTTAATGCCTCCCGGTGGGCAAGCTGGGAAGGCATTACCAAAACCATAACCAGCACCATAGCCACCACCAGCTCCAAAGCTTCCACCCCCTTGGCCGCAACCCCCACCAAAACCTGCACCAAAGCCACTGCCAACTCCACCATAGGAGATTCTCTTGTTGCCCCCTTGATTAAGATTATATAGGCTTCTGCTGCCAAAACCAGCACCTCCACCTCCACTACGGACAGAACATCCACGGCTTGCGGAAACGCTGTTGAAACTCATTCTTTGTCCGCCTGCGAAGCAAGCTGAGCTGGAGCTGAATCCCTTGTTCCCTCCTGACACGCTCATCCCAAAAGACTGGCGAGACATGATAGTTAGGGGATAGCTGGCTGGTGGCAGTGACTTTTTCAAGAAAGGTATTCCCAGTTCAGAGTACAACTGAGTCCCTATNGCAGCAAGGCGAGAATCTTCCTTTTTATCTGTTCAGAGAATTGGCTTGGGTTAGAGGGGAGTGGAAAATCAAGTGCTCTTTTTTTTTTTTTTTTGTATTCCTGGGCTTAGGTGTGCTTCGAACCCTCCCTCTTGCACAGTGCCAGAAACTGACCTTCCCTGAAACACACCCCAAAGGTAAAGAGCCTGACTGTGAACTCTAGACAACCCCAGATTATCTGCATCACCCTTCTTTCAAAGGATGTTAGATGCTGCTATGACTACTGTCTGTATGATAGGGTTTGGCAAGCTTCTTTGACATTCTTTAGCCCTGCAGGAAAAATAATGCCTTAAGATACATCCTAATCCTTCTCTTTTTCTTAAACCTGATGGCAGATTATTCTTTTCAGCAAGTACCAGAAAAAACCTCTCCAACTTGCTTGGTCTCAATTAAAAAAAAAAAAAAAATCCACACCCATGACTGCACCACCCAACCCTGGATTTTTTTTTCTTGAAATAAAAAGAAAGAAATCCTACAAGAATTTGTCTGATTTCCCAGTAGGAGAAAAAACATTTTCTCAGCACCATTTTACATACATACATACATACATACATACATACATACATACATACATACATACATACATACAATATATATATATATTCAGTCAAAGATAGCCTATGTATCTACTGTCCTTCCAGAAAGGAACTCAAGGTAACACAATTCCTGATTATCCCAAATTCATCAATCACAATAAACTTTCTTAATTATAGAATTATGATATCGGGTGGTATCTTTTCCTTACCAAAGCAGAAACTTTGTTCCATCAGCATCTCTGCTATGTACTGTTGCCATCACTTAAAAATTTCCAGGAAAAAGAAACCTGTCTTTCCATTCAGTATTACTTTTTAGTTTAAATTATACAAACTAAAAATATATAAAAATGAAAACAGACAGTAGAACCTGTTATTATTTCTTTAACACCAAAATACACGACATTTTGCATAAGTCATGTCCTTATCCCAAGTTGGTTATAATCTAAAATTTAATGCACGGTTTGAGTTTTATGAAAATAACAGAATAATAAATCATGTGGTCTAACAACTACTGAAAAATAATGCAAAGGCTTTGTGTGAACTTTAGGCTGTATGTGTGAGAAGTGGGGGGGGATTATATATAATGAGGGGAAAGGCCCTTCAACTCTGAGGTGACCCACATCTGGGGAGGAACAGTGATTAGAAAAATCCCTTTGCTACCACCCCACCCCCTTTGTTAAAAGCCATTTTTTCACTTTCATACCAGCCCACAAGGAAACCAGAAGATTGAAATCCTCATACACCCTTGGTCAAAATTGTAGGAAACTAAACTAAACTAAACTAAACTAAACTAAACTAAACTAAACTAAACTAAACTAAACTAAACTAAACTAAACTAAATAGCTGAGGTGGGAGCTGGAAGGCCACCAGTCAACTCCAATTTTATTGAAGGTACCAAAAGAAGACAAGGTCCTACACTAGAGGAGTCCAATTTTGGCAACTTTAAAATTTGTGGAATTTGTGGACTCTGTAACAACTTCCAGAATTCCCCAGCCAGCCATATTTTCCACCCATGCTGGCTGGAAAATTCTGGAAGTCCACAAGTATTAATGTTGCCAAAGTTGGACACTCTTCTACACCTAAAAAAAAATCGAACACAATTCCAATTATTTATGATTTATTTTTAAATCAAATTTATATAGCCTCTATATGTAATTATAACTAAACAATTCAACTTCCAGCCTTGCTGAGTCGCCCTCATTCAGGACTCCATCCAACTCCCCCAACCAAAATGTCTTCCCACCCAACTGACCCCCCCTTCTTTACCCTTATTGATTCTCAGGAGTCAGGTGATTCCCTGTGGTCATCTAAGGCTGGTTCGTTCTTCAAAGGGCTAGGCCAGGGGTAAGCAATCTTGGCTCTTTTATGACTCGTGGACTTCAACTCCCAGAATTCCTGAGCCAGCTATGCTGAGGGGAAAGGGAGAGGTTTCCATGCTGAGCCATGCTGGCTCAGGAATTCTAGGAGTTGAAGTCCACAAGTCATAAAAGAGCCAAGGTTGCCTACCCCTGGGCTAGATGGTCCCCAATACACTAGCCCAGTAGACTTTGTGGCAAGTCAAGTGAAGAACTGCACCCAGACTTTTATGGTTCAGTCCTAGCAGAGTTGACATTCTAGTTGCAGCACAGGATTCACAGAGACACAGTGTGGGGTTTTGCCATATTTTTCTCTATGTATACACAGATCCATGGAGAAGTGGGCACCCAATTTCAGCTTGGAGATAATCCTGTGGGAAATATTTTTGTTTCTTCATAATTACTGACAATCACACCTTGGCATATCTTTTTGTATCTCCACCCTCCAGCTTTAGTACTTGATCACAGAAAAATGTGAAGAAACTACAGGAGCTGATTTCTGGTACCCATAAGAAACGTTGAAAACGTTGCTTTTTGTAATCAGCACTGCACTCCTCTTAGGAGCGATGCAAGCTTCTGGCCTTCTGAATTTTTAACCTTGATTTTTATTTGTACTTGTAAATTTTAACTTGTTCTTAATTCTGTTTTTAATCTATGTTTTTATTCATGTGTTTATATGGTTTTATTATGATGTTGTAAACTGTCCAGAGTCACTTATGTGAGATGGGCAGTATAGAATTTTAATTAATTAATACATATATACAATTCAGAAAGACCTTGAAAAGTTTTATTAGTGTATACAAAATGCATATCTGAGTTTCTGCTCTAAAAATATAGCAGCTAAAATACCTAAACAGAAAAAAGTTAAAATTAATACTCTATCATAACATTACCAAAAATGCAAAGAGCAAAATGTATCAATAAACACTGATGAGGTGCCAACAAAACGGAAGGTTTATTTAAAAAGGAAGGTTTTCAATTTCAGAACACATACAGGCTATTCTCATGTCCCTCCAAATGAACAGGCCTTGCTTAACTGTTTTTACATCTTCTTTGTCTCATTCATAGAGCACAGAGGAGGAAACATAAACTGTTTAGCTGTTTATGTTTTAAAACCAGTTAGGTCTAGTAGTTCAGGCACCAGGCTAGAAAGCCGGAGACCATGAGTTCAAGTCCCACCTTAGCCATGAAAGCCAACTGGGTGATTTTGGGCCAGTCGCTCTCTCAGCCCAACCTACAGGGTTATTGTTGTGGGGGGGGAAAGAGGACGAAGAAGGTGTGTTGGATATGTTAACCACTTTGAGTTATTATAGAAATAATACAAGCAGAATAAATAAATAAATAAATTTCCTTTTCCTGACACAGTTTTGGTTTTTTTGCTAATCTAGGACTATTTGTTAACACTTGATGGCCCAAACGGGTATTAGGATACTGTGGGCACACACTGTGCTCTTCTATCACTAGGCACTTACTTCCGTGGACATTTTAGCTAGGGCTGCAAGAGAGACCAAATACCTGGCTGCCTTGGAAACTTTTGCCAAAGTAATGGCTGATGGGTAGCTTCCAAACCACTTCTCATATTTTACGCAGGTTTCATAAATCTACATCTATACCTATATGTACAGTTTACCCACATGTCTAATGCTGTTTTTAAAGATCAATAGTCCTTCTTTCTTTAGGATGGGTTTTAGCACTCTTGTGAAATACAGAACTAGCATTCTATGACTTCTCAGTGAGACAATTTTGGGATGAAGGTTTAATGCTCTTTCAAAAGACTGCCAGACCTATTTCCAGAATAACCCAAGGAACGGGTCACAGTTGCAGAGTCCTTCTGCATTTCCAACTTGTCACTCTGACAGCTTGAAAAGTATCCAAATGCGATTCTTTTCCAAGAAGAGATTCTTTTTCCAAATGCGATTCTTTTCCATGGAGTCTCTTTAGCAAAGCTTACTAAAGAAAAAAAAATGAGCATGGGATTGCAAAGATTTCACCAAAAAAACAATGCATCTTGAAACAATATCAAAACAGAGATTTCTTTATTTGCCTTCCATTGAACTAGAGAGCTGGCATGTTCTTCACTAAGAAAAAGGGAGTTCCAGCTGATTGTTTACCAGCCAGTCTGAACCTTTATTTGTCCAAATATGAATTATTACAGGTAACTAAACATAGGCATCGACCTATCCTTACCAGAAGCATGTTAAGGAGAGCTGCAGGTAATTGTATTTCCCATCAGCAAGTGATTTTAGAGGGGAAACAATGCCAGGAAAATCCATCCACTGTGCAACTTACACTACATTAAAACTTTAAAGACAACCTCAGTCACTGTCCTGGTTCACAAGGTAGTAAGGATTCAGCAAGTGGGACAATACAATTTATACTGTCACGTGTTTCTACTGATTTGAGGATTAGAAGGTACCATGTTATCAAAGACTCCCAACTCTATCCATAGAAAGAAAGTGACATATCTTACTAGTGAACAACATATAACTATCCACTAGATTCCCCAAATGTTGCACATCAATAAGTAAAAGGATGCCATTTTAAATTCAAAGTTTACCCCATGAGTTTGTAAAAATAATCTCATGAAATTTGGCAATTGTCTGAGAATCTGCCCAAAAATTTCAACAGTTTACATTATTTCACTGAAATATGACTAATTTTCACTGTTTTTCCAAGTGATCTTGCTGGACACTGAAAAGCATCTCACTAAATTTTGAAGATTTTATGTGAAAACCTAAGACTGTCAAAAACTTTTTAATATAAAATTTATTAAGAATTTTGATTACAATAGTAAAAATGAATACAAACTAAATTTAGAGAAAAGGAATAGAAAAAACAATAAAAAGTGCAGGAAAACAGAAAAAGAAAGAAGAAAAAGAAAAGAAAGAATACATTTTAGAAAAAAAATACATAAAGAGGTAAAACTTTTTTTAAAGTATACTATAATTTATATACAACTTTCAACTGAGTATCTTTTCAGACTTGATAGCTGCTGTGCTATATATGTAATTCAGTAAAGAACTCTTGTGTTCTTTAAAATGGAAATTTTGAAAATAAATAAATAAAAACCATTTGTGGGAAGCTGAGTTCATTATTCTTAA